AATAATTCAATAATAAAAGGTCTTGGCCTGGTGCAGAAAAGTATAGAATGTCAGCACCAGGTGCACCTCTCGGGGAGCTGGTTCCACAATTGGCATGCCATGGCAGAGAAGGTCCTCCTGCTGGTAGGTGCCCTCCTTACTTCCCAGAGCTCAGCTCTCAAAGAAGGACCCCTGCTGCTGACGTTAGGGGTTGGGCAGGTATACATGGGAGAATGCATTCCTTTAGATACACAGGCCTTATGCTGTTTATGGCTTTATCTCCCATCACAAACACCTTAAAGTGGGCCTAGAACTCAACTGGAAGCCAATGGAGCTGATAAAGAATAGGTGTTATATGAACCTGCCTTGATTTATTGATGTACATGTTATCTTAAATTATTTACTTTTTGCTTGGAAATAAACACTAAACTAATAAACTAATTTTCTGTGGACTTATGGCATCTAGAAGACTAATGCTACAATACTGGAAGGAGAAATGCCCACCTCCTATAATACTATGGATGGAAGTCATAAGGATGCTATCACCCTTTGAAAGGCAAGCAGAGTGACTTATTCTTGCAAACCGCAGTGATGGTGGCAACTGGGATCCAGCCTCTCAAGGAAGCAAGAGCAAGCGGCTGCTTCTGCTGCTGCACACCACTTCCTGGGGTCCTGGATAATGGCACAATGTGGCCCTTGACAGCTTTCTCCCACACTACTGCTAATGCCAGGGAGAAAGTGGGTTGCTCATAAGCAATGAGCGATTGCTCATTGTCTCCCACTGGCACTGGCAAGTGCATGGAGTCATGCAAAATGCTAGAACCCCTTGGACAAAGCAGCAGCCCTTTATTTGGCAAGGGCTCTAGCCTTTTGGCTTGACTATGGCGTAGCGCATCACCTGGCCTATAAACCATGCCGCAGGAAGCAGTGGGGTTCAGACAGCACACTAAGCCGACGCCCTGCCTGACCCTTCCCACCCCACCCTGCAGCTTAGCATGTCTTGCAGATCCAATTCTTGTGCCTGCCCTTTCTGAGAGAATCATGCCCACTGGCAACCCTTGCCATGGTTCCTGCCACAGTGCACCCAACAAACCCCTGAGGGAAGGGTCTGTCCACTTCCCTGAGAATGTAGGGGATTCCTCCACGGAAAAGGACATCTGATCACTGTATCTCTTGGATTAGTTGTGCTCTTTTCAACTCTGTGGACTGCAAAGCTATGTGCCAGTTAGGCAAGCCTGCAACCCAGTGGTGGAAGATGCCATTGCAGCCTTCAAATACAGCCTTCACATTTTAAATTAATTAAGGGTACTATTCAATGTGCCTGCCCATAACCCTTTGAACTCAAAGCATTATGGGCATCCAGTTGAAGGTAGAAGAAACACAGAGGCTAGGATTTCCAGCTTGCTTTCCTAACTCTTCCAAATATTTAGTTGACCAATTTCAGCTGTCTAAATGTTTTCCCCTCCTCACCAGGAAGAAATGCTGAGGCACTACCAGGATTCTTTGGAACATGGTGGTACTTTGCTACTCCCCTCCCCTCCCTTCCTGTCCCTCCTCTGGAATCTTCCCCACAGTGTTGGCTCCAAAGAAGGTCTTCCACCTCTGGAACCAGGCAGGGCAGAAAGAACCAAGCCAGCTGAGATGATGGAAGGAGAGCCCCCTGCAGTGTATCCCAGTTCCACCCTCGGAGTATCTCCTTCAGCTGGAACTCCAACCTATCCAATGGTCCTCCCACAGACAATGTTAGGATGCCACAGGATTGTGCCCTAATGCAGACTCCTAGGATCCTGTTAGTATACTCACCAAGTTTTAGGTGACTAGTTTTCATGGTCTTGGAATGATGACACTGACAGGCAGACAGACTCATAACCAGTTTTATTACTATTACTACTACTAATAATAATAATAAACTATAATAATAATTAATAAAGGTGTCTAATATTACTTTTATTTCTGTTTCCAGCTAATTGTGCAAGACCAATTCCTCAGCAACACTAAAGCATTCTGGTCTGAAAGGACCTTATCCAGATGACATCCTCTGTATCATACCTGAAGATAGCAAGCCAGTGGAGTCCAAAAGCTTCTGATAGAATAGTATATTCATATATTAGATGCACATCTAAATTTGCATGGCTAGGAAGCTAAAACCTCTTTAACGGATTATCTCTAGCATTCACCAGCATGGCAAAGGCTGTTCCCAGACTATTCCCAACATTGGTGTATGAGTGGAATGATGGAGAAATAGCACAATTTTATGCATGTCTACTTAGAAGTAGGGCCCATTTCATTCAATAAGGTTTGCTCATGGATAAATGTGCATAGGATTGCAGTCTAATGCATCATGGAACCTGGCCTTAGTTTTCTTTAGGCTTTAGAATGAGTTACAATTCAAAGATAGAGTATGTGCTTTTCATACAAAAGTTCTCAGAGGGTACTATGGTCGATTGTGTTGTACTAGTGTAGCTTGCACTACAATACCAACAGCTCTCAGCACTGCTCTAGGTAGGGTGTGCCATCACACTGTAGTTTACCTTAGCCCTTGAATCCTGTTGGAACTGCCCTCAATGCCCATCAACCCCAAGCAGCACTGGGGAGAATCCTCTGTCTGAGACCCTGGAGAACAGCTGCCAGGAAGTGGCCAAGTGTGACTCACCCATGGACTGCAAGCCCTTCTTGGCCCTCTGCCTCAGGCTGTGTGTCCCACAGACAGGCAGTGCCACAGACTTCTTCCTGCAGCTTTAACCTCCCTACCCAATGGACCTGATACAGCTGGAATTGCCACCCCTCCCCCCAGAAGAAGCAATGATCTGAGAGAGAATCAACTGGAGAAGCGAGAGGCATTTCCCTGTCACACCCTACAAGCAATCACTGTTGTGACTGCACTTCCTCACCAACAAGCTCCACTGGAATCACTGGGGTTAGGTGGTTTAAGCCTCCCCCACCACACACAGGGATCCTAATTCTGCCACAGGCTCTGGGGAATCATCTATCTCAGAGAGGATGGCTGAGCTGGGGGGAGAACCAGAACAGAAGTTTAAACCTCCCAATTCTTGGAGGTGCAGGACTGGGATGTGGGGAGGGGAGGGGAGGGGAGGGAAATAGATGTGTACAGCCTTGGATCTGCTCTCCAGGACCGCACTGGGGTGATAAATGTTGTCCATCCCTGGTGTAGACAATGCTGAAGACAATCAACCAATTATCTAATTTGCATTAAATCAATGTCCTATGACCATTGGGTCAATCTCCAGAGCATCCCTATACTATGGACCTGGTAGTAAGTTTACACTTTTGGAAAGTCTTCTATTTGTTTCTCTTTCAGAAGTCAGAGAATATTTTCCAGCCCTCCCACCAGAAGGGACTGTCAGCAAATACACTGTTCTAATGTACATTCCTCTTTCTTCATTGCTAATTTCTTGGATTTAGGGACATTTTTCTCAGCATGGAATATATTAGCAGCAGATAAGAATCACTGTGAATGTTGACCACATGGAAGTGAAATCATTAACAATGATACAATTATGAAAGGAGACAGTAACAATTTTCTTCTTTTTTTTCCAGGTCCACTTTCTCACAGGATGTTTCGCAGTCACAATAGTTATGAATTTTTCTAAGTAGGATAAGTTGTAATCAGTGAGAGATCATCAGTATAACATTTTAGGCTCAAAATATTGTGCTCCAAGTCCTCAGAAACTGCAATGACAATGCTACCTTCAGCAAAGATGTACACACAGTGTGCAACAAATGAGACACAACTGTGCATTCCTAGCATGGAACAGAGAGCTGACCTAGGCTGGTGTGGGCAGTAAACCCTGAAGAACTGAGCAACTTTTGTTCCTCTCTTGGGAGGTTCTGTCTGCTGCCAGTTCTCCATGCTGAAGAGTGCTGTGGCAACCTGTGTCTCCTGTGCTAGAGTTCCTATGTATAGGCTAGGGTAGGAGTTGTTTGTTACTTTGTTGTCCAAGGTGCCCAACAAGGCCCTGGGAGTGGGATTCTTGGTTGACTGTAATGTGACTTGCTGCTGCAGTCCAATTCCCCTCCCTTCCCCCTCTTTCCTGTTTTGATCCTGTTTAGATTCTGTGTTTTAGTCCCGCCACCCCTATATTCTAACCCTTTAATAAAGTTATTTATTTCCCCAAGTTTGGGGTTGTCATGTGCTGAATCAAGTGGCTGGTCCAGGTGCTAGGACCATAAACTTCCTGGGCAGGATTTGGCCCAGTTGGCCAGGGGAGTGAAGAATCCCTGCTGGCTTTCTGTTAGAGTAACTTGCCCAAAAGCCTGAATAGAAGGCAGAGATAAGGGTTAATGACTAAAAATGATCAACCAAATTCCTTTGAGCTCACAGTCTCAGTGCTACTAAGGAAATGAAGATAGCAACATTTGGAGGCCCTTGCTTTGCTTTGAATCTATCCCAACTATCAGCAAGAACATGGATTAATTAGAAAACAGTGAGCACCTCAATAAACCCCAAGAAAGGTATCTGAGGGTACTCCGGAGCCTGCAGGCATCATGCTGTTTAATTGTGCAACCTCTGGCCATCCACAGTCATGGATCAAATCACACCCATCATTCCAAAAGTGACAGTGATCTACAGACATTCTGGATAAGTAGCTACATTAGTGTGTGTGTGTTCCTAGGAAAAGCCATACAAGAAAAAGCCAAAACCCTGTGGCCCCATAAGAGTTGATTCACTTATAGTCTATCCCAAAAACTGTCTTGCACAAATCATGATCACATAGGCTTCTATATCAGTGCACACCTATAACCAATTCCTGGAATTTTTCCAAAGTCTTTCTTTGGAGATTAGAAAAAATAGTCTAATCTCTGGTCACTGGAATGGAGAATAAGAACAGTGACTCATTTCTATTCCACGGGTGCTATATTGACATTAAGTGGTGTGTCTTTCACACTGTTTTTTTTCTCCATTTTTATCAACCTTGGCTGGGTTGGGCATGTGGGTATAAAAGCAAAGCTTTTGTTCAGTTTTTGCAAGTTAAGGATATCATAAAATCTGCACTGCCAGGATGAAGAAGTTGATTCTTTTAATGCTTTGTGTTTGGCTGGTCAGTGGATTTAAAAGGTAAGTTAATTTCCTTGGCTTTCTCTTTGGTTCTTTCAAATAATGGAAGTCTCCTTGCAAGGTGAAATTCAACCCCTCAAAAGCAATCGGTGTCTTAAATAACCTTTTTCAAATTTCCCACAAAATGGGTGCCTTGCATAGGCCCAATACCAGTACTAGCACATCAGGAATGTGTTGTGCTCAGTACACCAAAGACACATTGTAATTTTTATTCTTATTTGCATCATAATCAATCACACCCTGCAAGGAATGCCACTTGTGGGAATCGCATAATGAGCAATAGCAAATGTCACATAAATGATGAAACACAGATGCATTCCACTTTGATTGATTGGCTTTCAATCAATATTATGCAATAAATACCTCTTGATAACACAAAGGAGAGATGAACTCTATTCACTATAATTTTACAGTGTACCATGGGCAGAGTCCTTAATATATGAACAAGCCATGAAGAACTTACCCTGCTGGCAAATATACTGCTTGTTCAGCCTTCCCTCATTGTCGTGGTAGATAGCTTTACCTATATAGCATTCAATATCTCCCTATTCCTACTTTCACTACCCCTTAGAATTACCCTGAAAAGACACAAATCTTTGCGGAAAACTTTGAGGGAACGTGGACAACTGTCTCAATTCTGGAAGAAGATTAAGATAGACAATATCCAGTATACCCAGGAATGCTCAGCTTTCCAGGAAACCAATGAGCCCCTGCTCAACTATTTGGATGTAAGTTATGAACTGATGCATGGTTGTAACCAAAGGAATGTGGCAGCAGCAAAGGAGACAGACCTTGCACTAAGATGATGGTGATGATGATGATGATGCATGAAGGAACACATTGTGCTGGAAATATTCTTCACCTCACTTACAAAGGAACATATACAAATCCAGGAATTACATGGCAATATGTCATACTTTATCTATGCATTATCTTTTGTTGCTGGTTCAGTTAAAAATGCAATGCTGGCCCATTCTACATATGCATGTAGAATGCATATGTCATTTCTTCACCTTCTGTTTAGTAAAAAAGTAATGATTAGAGCTGCCCTGATCCTTTGGCTATTAATATATACACACACCTACTAAGAGAGACAAGTTTCTTTACATGAGGCATTTCTGATGTGCTTGAGGTTTTTTTTTAATCACTATGTTTTGCAGGAGCTTTACATCACACTGTTGCCCTCCAGGGCTTTCCAAGCTTTTTCTCACTGTTTTGAGAACGTGCAATGAGTTGTTATTCAGCTCTTAGAATAAATCAGGCGTACTGGGCACTTGCTTCTCATTATAGCACCATTTTGTAGTTGTGTAATAGAACATAAAGGAAGTTGGAGAAAGAAAACCCCTGGAAAAATGTTCAAAGGATGCACTCTTCTTCCTGCAAAGAAAATGGAAGTGGAAGCCTTGGCAAAGCACTGAGTTAAATGCCTCATGTAGAGAAACACACAGAGAGAAAATAATTAGACAAACTATCTACTTCACCAAGTAATATGACATTGTAGGGTAGGAGTGGGCAACTCTAGACATTTTGGCCCACAACGCCCATCAGTCTTAGGCAGTACAGCCAGTAGTGAGATGATGGGAATTGTAGGCCAAAACAATAGGAGAGATGCAAGTTGCCCAACCCTGTTATTTCATCTTCCTTTAAAATAACTCAGCTAGTGGTGCCATGGGAGCATTGTAAAAATGGTTTTGTTTTTTTTTTAAACACAGAAAACTGAGGGGGAAATAGTGCTGAAGCACTTGGTTGGGAAGTGCATCATGTGCTGTGTGCATGAGCCAGATGTCTACCATAGATAGATTTCAAAGCACTAGCCCCATTATCTTGACATGATCCATTCAACCCCTAGGGAAATCTCTCCCTCTCTTTGTGACTTTCTGCACCTAAGTTTTTCATCTTATCTTTGTTTCAGAAACAGACATGTAGGTCTACATCAATAATAACCCAAAACACAGCACCATAATCCATGTCAATCCCTTAGAAAAGACCCTAGCTCCATCTGTCTGATCCTGTGCATAATGCCACAATTAAAGCTGGGCAAGAATTGAATCTGGCCTGATAGCCATTTGAGTTTGCAGAGTCTTTCTGCTTCTCATAGGCTCTGCTGAGCATATCTCTGCCATAATGTGTGGAAAACAAATGTTATTCTTTTCCTGCTAGGAGGAATATTTTGGACAAATCTCCATTGGGAATCCTCCTCAGAATTTCACTGTGCTTTTTGACACTGGTTCCTCCAATCTCTGGGTGACTTCCATCTACTGTACCAGCAAAGCTTGTGGTATGTATGTATGTGCATATGTATTTGGTTCACAAGCCAAGGCTCTCCGGATGGTTAACAAAGTTTAAAGGATCCACAAACAATAATAAAATTAAAATAACAAAATTTTAATTGCAATTGCTATTATTCAGCACAGAAGCTGAATAATATGGGATGACAGGATGAAAGGAATGGACGGTTGATGGACTTTTCTTACATATAAAGTCTTATTAGTATGACTTTAGTTTATAGAGGATCATTGCCTTCAAGGGATTTGTGGTGAAATTAGTGAACAGATTCCTGACATTTTATATTATGATGTACAACTTGCATATGATGGAGGCCCCAGAAAATGCACTTTAAATTGGGCTCAGGCAGGTCAACTCATGCACAGTCGCAATATGAAACTTAATAACATCCCCTCCCATACAAGATAGTGGCTACAGTGTGCAGACTTTATCCCATCTGTAAACTGGAAGTTTAATTTCTTTTCTTGCAGGAAAGTCTGTTGTGGATGGGAACTTATCTATAGCTGATCAAAGTGCAATGAGGATAAAAAGACTCCAGGATTTATCTGTAACATAAAGTGAAAACTGGTCAGGAGGGAGTATTATTTAAAAGATCAATTTTCCTTTCCTTTTATCTTCTTCTCACTTTTCAGGATGTAATACTTATCTCACCACAAGAGGACACTTTCAGAGATGATAAAATAATAGATTCAGATTCATCATGCAAAATAGAGAGGAAAAATCCTTCTAGGTCAATTATTTTTGTATGTACACCCACTCCCCCAGACCTTGGAATGATAATTTAGTAGTGCAGTCCTGTGAAATCCGGTCCCACAGACGTACGTACATCTCATTGATAGGTGAAGGTGCCAGGAATGCAGCCAAAAGTTATAATCCTAGCCACACTTTCTCAGAACTGAGCCTCATGGTGCAGAGGCCAATTTAGTACTGAAAAGTATGTGCTACTCTGCATTCCCACATGCACGATACACATATTAGGTATATAGGAGAAGACTGTGTAGGGCAGACAAGATGCTATAATGAATGGTGAATAGCAAACCATATGTTTCCATTACTTGACCACTGCCTGCACCATCAAATTATAGCCTCCATGTGTGAAATGGTTAAATGACCATCCTGGAACAAATAATACTGACAGAGTATTTATATCACCTGAATTACTTCACCTTTTCAGGGGAGTCAGTTCACAGAATGAGAAAGAGAGTCTGCATACACCTCTGTGGATTCATCATAAGATTGTAGTCTTGTGTGCGCTTGCTTGAAAATAAGCTGCACAGAACACAGTGGTGTTTGCCTCTGAGGCAAACATGTGCGTGGCCAGGCAGCAAGAGCCCATATGTTCTCCATATGCCAGTTTTTGGGTGTCATTTTCTACTTCCAGAAATGTTCTGATGGAAGTCGGTTTGTCTTTTAAATTACAGCCGCACATAACCAATTCCACCCATCAGAGTCCAGCACCTACCAAGAAGTGGGAACTCCATTCTCCATCCAGTATGGCACTGGTAGCTTGACAGGAATAATCGGATCTGATCAAGTGACCGTAAGTGGAAGACCCAAATGCAATTTTTAAATGTGTGTTCTCAATGCTTTGATTTTCACACTGATTTCTTGGACTGTTTCTAGCAGGTAGCCTCACATGAGCAACACCTGGGAGCATTTTTTCTGTATTCCAAATTCAGAAACTTTTCCAGCTCCAAAGGGCCCAGCTTTTCTTAGCAGTCAGCATGCTCAGATTCTATAAATCAGGCAGAGCTGGCGTGTTCAAGGGAAGTGACCATCACTCTACAGAATTGGACTGTATGATATCCATAGAGGAAAGAACACACATGTAGGAAAGAACAACAGGTTAACATTCTTGTTAGCTCAGTCAGGAGAAATCTGTGCACTAATGTGGGCTGACTTTGAACATACAGAGCTGCTTTATGTTAAGTAAGACCATTTATTCTAACAGGCACCAGCTATGCAAGGTCTTGGTTGAATTCATATGGCCATATAGGAATTCATAGTACATACAGCACTAAATGTATTGTAAGGCAGCCAAGTGTCTTAATTTATAGAGGACAGTCTTTTGTTTCAAAGGCTGATAAAAGACAGTCTTTTATTTGAAAGTATCCTCTGTTTGATGGACTATCCAATCTAAGTCTGGTTTAAAGACAAAGGACCATAAGGAGGGAGAGGAGAGAAATTGAACTGGGCCATCAGCAGCTAGCTACTGGACAGAACACTTAGCAGACACACAGGACAGCTGGTGACTGGAGATATATTATATTTCAATTAAAACCATACTAATTATGTATGAATTTGCATCTCTGCATAGAAATTAGCATACTCTCATTTTAATGAAAATCAGTTCTCTCCTTCCTATGCTTTGCTGATACATTTTGGCCATGGGTAAATAGCCATAACTTACTGCTAGCGTGGCAATAGGAACAGAATTATTTTACTGGATTTTTGCCCTCCAGATTGAAGGACTCACTGTAGAAAATCAGCAATTTGCAGAGAGTGTTACTGAGCCAGGCAACACCTTTCTGGATGCTGAATTCGATGGGATCCTTGGTCTTGCCTACCCAGCCCTGGCAGTGGATGGAGTCACTCCAGTCTTTGATAATATGATGGCCCAAAACCTGGTGGAATTGCCATTATTCTCTGTTTACATGAACAGGTATGAGAATTTGACTCCTATAGTTTCATCTTTCAAAGCCACTTTAACTAAAAGACCACCTGTCAAGTACATGTGGTAGATTCTGAAAGCATACAAAATGCTTAACTAGGAGTGGCAGAACACTTTTTTTGTCAAAGCCCATGTTACCTTGGATGAAACCTGTCAGACATCACAGTCCAATGTGTACAGGACCAAAAGTCTGTGGTGCAGAGTCAATGAGCAGAAAAGACATTTACATCCAAGCATTTTCCTTCTTCAACTTATGTAAGGTTCCTTTCATCAGCCTTATCATTGGGAGCAGGAGCAGAACAGAAGGAAGTCTTATCAATGACCCATCACTTGGGAAGAAGCTGAAAGTTTGGACTGAGAGGCTTGGAAGTCCTCCCTCCCTCCCTCCCTCCCCCACTTGATTTATATGGTCCTCCTCTTCTTCAACTTATCCTCACAACAATCCTGTGAGATAGGTTAGGGTGACCGTAACTGACAAAGCGAGAGCCAGTGTGGTGTAGTGGTTAAGAACATGGGACTGGGACTCAGACGACCTGGGTTCTAGTCCCCGCTCAGCCATGGAGCCAACTGGGTGACTTTGGGCCAGTCACAGACTCTCAGCCCAACCTACCTCACAGGGTTGTTGTTGTGGGGATAAGATGGCAGAGGAGATGTAAGCTGCCTTGAGCCCTTTGTAGGAAAAAGGCAGGATATAAATAGAAAAATAAAATAAAAATAAAAATAAATTAGAACCCAGGTTTCGAGAATTGCAGTCAATCCTCTAACCACTACATCACATGGTAGGATGTGGGGAATATATGTTCTTCTCATCTAAAATTTGGATAGAATAAATAGATTGATGATGAGGATGGAGCCTATATTAAACCTAGTGTGGTATACTGAAGTTTTATGATGTTAAGGAGGAGAAAAAGACGACCATGTGAAACACCCTGGGTTCCTTGAAAGAAGAAAAAAGGTAGGATATATGTGTTATAATAAATAAAAATTAATTAAACCCTTTTCTTCCTTCTCTCTCTCTCCTTCTAGGAATCCTGACTCTTCTGTAGGAGGGGAACTGATTTTTGGTGGCTATGATCATTCCCATTTCAGTGGAAATCTCAACTGGATTCCAGTCACGAAGCAGGGATACTGGCAGATCCAATTGGATAAGTAAGTGTTGTTTGATGGGGAGGGGAGCAATTCTCTAGAATGACACATAAATTAAGCAGGGGGAGATCACTGGAGGGAAAGCAGTAATGAAAATGAGCAATATACCTTTCTCATGAAGGCCAGAATCCAGAAAAAAGCATGTGCTTAGTTTCCATGCTCCTCAACATTTCTCAGATAAAATAGGGGCAGGGTGGTAAGCTAACAACCCTACCCCTGATTTGTTATTGGGAGCTATTTTATGAGTCAACTCTCCTTTATCACACATGATAGTAACAGGGGCTTTTTACCCGTTGGCACAGTACTGGGTTCTTTCATGCCTTGGAAAGCTCTTCTCCACCGATTTAAAAGCCCAAGCGTAGGTGATTTGGTTGATGATATCCTTGAAAAACATCACTATTCTACGAGATCATGAGTTGACAGTACCCCTCAGCAGCCTGGGTGTGTCAAAGCATAGCCAGAACTGTGCATGATGCCTTTGTATTTGTGTATGCATAGGTGTACTGCTTCCCAAACAAAGTATGCCTGTGTATTCATTGCTGGAAACTTGGGCAGAAGGCGGCGGCTGCTGCTGCTGCTTACTCAGATCCTGCTTGCGGGTTGCTGGTTGGGCACTGGGGGAACAGAAGGTGGACCAGACGGTCCCTTCGTCTGATCCAGCACGACTCTTCTTATGTTCTCAGGTGTACACATTGCCATGCTACATGTACTAGTGACTAGAGGCATCCATGCACTGCCTCCGAGATGCCTGGGGAGCAAGAGTGAGCAGTAAAGGATGGTGCTGGTAGCGACTCAAACAAATAACATTTTGATGATGTTGCACTCACAGCAAAATCACCTGAGAAGCTGTGTGGGGTTCGCATCATTGCCACTGTTTGCCTTTCTCCATTGCTGCTGCAAACCTTCCTCAAATCTTTTTTTGGCCAGGGTCTACAGGAGGACTTACCTGCACAGCAGGGCTGCATCTGCCTGCCCTCACCCCATATCTGTTTCCTGGGGCAATTGCCTCACTGTGCTGGTCTTAGTTGCTGTGGTTCCTTGCAGTGCACTAGTAGTGAGAGTTGGATTAGCAGTTTTTCTTTCATCTCGTTAATTACGTTTTGCTCTGTATTACTATATATTAAGTCTAGATGATTTGCCTACATCAAATTTATATTATGTTTTGATTTATCTGATTTATTTGAATGCGTTGATATAGATTGCAGCATTTTTTCTACATGTGAAATTCTATTTGCATACATTGATGCAAATGAGCTGTTTCCAGCAAACTCCACAATGGAAAAGCAACATAAATTAACAACAAAGTAGGGATGGTGGGGGGGGGGGGGAATAGGGTCAGTAATATACCAGAAATGGGTGGGAACATTGTTGCCCCTCTTAAATAAGTGGGGTTTTGGAGGTTTTTAACAACAGCTCTTTACTCCACTCACAGAAGGGTCAAAAGGCTTTTGTGCCTGAGGATGTGTTGTCTTCTGTTCACCCTAGAAGTCTATAGTTTCTAGTTTCACATTTAACAGTTCAAAATTTCCTGTGCTTAGGTGGGCTTCGGAAGTCCATGAAGCAGGTCTCTACCAGCCACTGAGGGCAGACACACAGTTGCAAAGGGGAGGAAGTAAAGACATGGTAGATATTAAAGAATTGAAAATAGTATGATAAAATGGGAATGCAGGCAAACAGTGCAATTTTCCTGGAATGGCAAAAATCTGCCCACCTGGTCCTTCCACTAGGACTTATTTTATTTTCTTCCTTTTCAGCATTCAGGTTGGTGGGGAAATTGCGTTCTGTGCAGAAGGATGTCAGGCCATAGTGGACACGGGGACCTCTCTCATCACAGGTCCTACTGAAGACATAAAGCAAATGCAGCAATTAATTGGGGCACAGCCTATAGATGGAGAGGTGGGTCCCAGTTTGAAAACCTACAGCAGCATCTCACTTGGATGCTAGAACTGGAACTGATCTATGAGAAGCTTGATATTTTTCTCTCCAGGCTCCTGTTTCTTCCTATTCTTTGGACTGACTTTAGGTTTTTCTGATTCTCTTTTTTGATCTGTCCTCCTTCGTGATTTTCTAATTCTTGTATTTAGTATATTAAAATGCAGACAATATTGCCAAGTTTAACCCAAAGACTGTTGTGGGACCAAGCACATATTACACAGAAATAAGGCCCTCCCACCCTCAGAGAGCCTGGAGGAATGTTGTCCATGGGGTCGCGACTAACACCACCACCACCCTCAGAGAAATTTTGTTACATGAAAATCAGCATCAGTTTTTCAGTTTGTGTGTGTGTGAGGGAGGGGCTTGGGAAAACAAGTGGTGAGGGACAAAACCCTTTCCCTGATAACTGTGGTTCTAGCTTTATGGTTGAGGCAATGATGGAGTTCACACATAATAACCACATTCAATGACTGAATGTGGGCTGTTACTGAATCTTGGGTTATTATATTTTCTAGACCCAGTCATGCTAGCAACCCATAGTTTGTTGTTGGATTGTGAACTGTGGGTTGTTCTTTGGTCAACCCATCATTTTTTGTTAGTACAGCTAGGTTCAGACAACACAATAATCCACATTTCAGAATAACCCATGGTTGAACGACAGCCCATACTCAACCCACACCTAACCCTTGAGTGTCGGTTGCCTTATTGTCAGAACGCAACCAGCACAATTAAATGAATATGATTTTAAATTACCCAAAGCTGTTAAAAATGCAGACCTTATTTACCCAGTTTCCAGATTTATCTCCTTCAAAATTACATGATAGAAATATGTGGATTCTAACTGAAAAATCTGTATTTACCCCTGTTATAAACATGTGTTTATTGTTCTGCAGTATGTTGTGGATTGTAACAACCTGAATGAGATGCCTCTTGTCACCTTCACAATCAATGGGATCCCTTATACTCTGATGCCACAGGCCTACACCCTTAGTGTAAGTACTCTCACTCAGTTCTTCATCTGCAGGATTGAAAAAGACATGCCATTCTTGGGGAACTGTGGGCTACATTTGGCGAGATATTTATCTTTCACTCTGCATTAGGAAGCAGACACAAGGGCATTTCTTTGTTTTATGAACAAGCATTTCCACATTAAGGAGCTCAGCTAGAGGCTCTGATTGAGCAAGGTCTGCACAGAGTAAAACCATGGCTGCGATCACTACAAACAACCCTGCAAGGGTTCGCATTTTTTCCTTCAACCTGCCAATCAGATGATCAGGCTCACAGTGGTAAGTCTCCTCCCTCACATCACCTCCTTCCCCCTCAGTCCTCCAGGTGGCATCCCAAGAGACACTGTAGGCAGGAATGAGGATCCTCCTTTTGACAGCTGTGATCACAAGCCACGTTCAGCTGGCCAGGTTGTCCAGCAGTCTGATCAGGAGCAAGGGGTGCCTGGTCCATGTTCTTGGGGCAGCGCAGAATCTGCTGGGCAGTGCTGCAGAAAGAAGCAACACCATTCAGCACCACTCCTGCCTGGCATTGGCATGGGATGGTGGAAAATCATCCTTCCCCTGCTGCCCCTCCCACACCTGACAGAAGCCCTCATGTGCAAGCAGGAGTGGGGAGAATGGGCATCTGAGTAGTGCTGCCTTCAGTTGGGCACTGCTAACCAGCTGATTCTTCATGCTCCTGCTTGGCTAGCTCCTTGGCAAAAGAGGCAATGGCTGCTCACACTGAGCAGCTCTCTCATTCTGGCCTTTGTACCATGATGGGCTGTTTTCTGGATTCACAAGCCATCATGGTGTGGAGAAACTACTATTTCTGTTTGCAGTTTCTAAGGACCAAGCACACCACTCTCAAATACCATGATAGAGACCAACAATAGTAAAACGAAACAGAACAAAACTACTATTGCTTGTTGTGTCATGTAAACCCAGCCCATGCCTTAGAGAGGTTAAAGTACAAAACTGTGTAGAGAAATTCCTGTAACTCCAGAGGCCAGACTACATAATGTACATTAGTTACCTATTAACATTCTTTAATCATAGGGAGTTAAAGAGAGAGAAAAGGGCAGATTTCCTCTTTGTACTTTAATGCATACTTCCTGCTTATGGGTCAAGTGTGAATTTTAAGAATTATGAGTAAAGAAACATAGACATATAGTTCCCACAGTGTGATTGTTCCCACAAATAATTCTCAGTGAACGTGTGCTTAGCAAATCCTACCCTGCTGAAAGAATGTAGTAGTAGTAGTTGTTGTTGTTGTGTGTATGTAATGTTGCTCACTCAGATTCATGCAGGAAGGGGGAAATGCACAAAACGTGGGATGTCAACTTTCTGTATATGATCTATGTTCAATTCTTATACTGTCAGAGAACTCTGGCCACAGGCTGGGGTACCTTAGTGAATGGGAAAATAACTGCCATCCAGGAGTGCTGACCTGGACTGTATCAAGGAGACCTGGCTGGATGAGAATGGGGGAATAAGTCTCTCCCAGTTTTGATCAGCAGGCAAGACCAGGGGCTGTAGACATGGAGTTGCAGTTGTCTCTGACAGTTCTGTTTCCCTGTCCAGGTGCTTCCCATGTGGAGCAGGGATTAGCAGGGAGGCAAGTCTAAGGGATAAGAAAGAATTACAGACACTCCTTCCTTCTTCCAGGGAATTACGTAAATTCTGAAAATGATGGCAAATTGGCTAGCACTTCCATAACTGAATCTTGACACCTGTAATTTCTCTTCCTCTTAGGAAAACAGTGACGGGATGCTCCTGTGCTCCAGTGGCTTCCAAGGCTTAGACATGCAACCCCCAGTTGGGCCACTCTGGATTCTGGGAGATGTTTTTATCGGCCAGTACTACTCTGTCTTTGACCGTGGGAATAACAGAGTAGGGTTGGCTCCTGCTGCCCCTTAGAGTACGTGGTGAGCGTGTGGGTCAAAATACCAGACTCCATTCCTTCCTCTCCCTGAGCAGCCTTAGCAAAATAATGTCTTCCCATCTGCACTAAGTTTGCTGAGGACAGTGACAGTCATCTGTGTATGCAGACGCTTTGAGGTCTTTGGCAGGTCTTTTTCAATACATCTATTTTCAGTAGAGAGCATTGTGCTGGGCATTTTAGTAAAGTTATTTGCAAATGTGTTTGCTTTCTCTTCTCCTTAAATAAAAAATTAATCAATCAATAATTAATAACAACTTCAGTTTTAAGGTGGCCCTGTTGCAATCACACATAGGGTGGCCATCTGTCCTCTCCTACAGAAGACAGTCCTCTATCTAAAAGGCTGTCCTGTGTTTTGGAAGAAAGTAAAGGTACAGTGAAGTCTGCAAGCAAATTTACACAGCGGCCAGAGCTGGAGACATCGCCCCACACTATCTGAGTGAAGCCCTACCTGCTGCCTTGAGGAAGGGGTCTGTCCACTCCATTGCTGAAGAGGTGCTGCCCCACAAGTGGGGAGAGGCAGGACTATCTCTAATTTTGTTCCACCACCTAGTTGATTTCCCTGCCTTCAAACTGTGTGAACAACCAATCTATGTGTTTACTAACTGCCTGTAGTGGCTGAAGATGCTATTGCAGTCGTCAAACACAAATAATGCATTTTAAAAGTAACAGAAGGTGGAATTTCATACCACTAGGCTTCCTTTAGTATGCAAGCCAAGTTTCAGGTGTCTAGGTGCCACCCTCTTGGTGTTATGGTAGGGACGTACAAACAGAAAGACAAGCACACATGCTATCCTATTCTTATAGATAAGCTTTCCTGGGCTGCTGTTCACTTCATTAGACTCTCCTAGGAATTTGTAAATGCCATTCATGTATGGTGTCTGGTAAGGGATTGGGTAAGTAATATATTCTAATAGTTTAATTATTACAGTCTAGTGAGCGACTCACACTAAGTGGGTGGGTGCTGTTACAGCAGAGTACAAACAGGAGTTGGTTCAAGAGCAATCTCAGGTACATCTAAGGATTGTACATTGTTTTATTAAACATTCTGAGAGATAAGGGATATGTCTTCTTGTGATTGGTCTCCTCCTGGACAAGGCAGCATGTTGCAGACTTCACATTACAAGAGTTAAATCAGAGACCTCCCTGAAAGCAAAACCACTGACAGGCAGGTAGGGGTGTGGGTGTGGGTGTAGGGGAATGTTCTGGCTTGTTACATTAAGAGGCACGCTGGAGCCCCTCCCAGCAGCAAAAATGATTACACCACTTTAAAATAATTATTATACCATTGAAATGAAAAAAAGGAAAACCAAATGGGCATTTTTTGTGTCAGAGTGCTCAGTTGTTGTAGAAAAACACATTCCTGCATTAAGAGGCACTTGTTCCTTAACACTAAGCATAAATCAACCAGCCTAAGCCAGTATTTTGCACTTCTAAAAACAAAGCAAACCTGCAAGCCTGTGGTCCACCACCCCAGTGCAGACAACTGCTCTTCGCAGTTCACTCAGACGCTGTCATCAGGGCTGAAGGAACAAACTTTTGCCACCAGAGTGAAGCCTTCCCATACCTGTTGGCTCTTGCCAGCAGAGTAGAAATCAGGAGACAGGTGGAGCTTATTTGACTTTCTTCCACCTGCAGGGAGAGGAAAAATTACAGAGGAAACACCCTGTGCTCTTGTAAATTTATTCCTGGGTTGGAGGAATACTTGATCAGCTATTCCCTCCCTGGCCTCTAGAACATCAATTTTCCCTTCTCTACAAGGCTGGAGTTTCAGCCTCATAGAGGAAGCCATCATGAAAACCTTTAGAAGGAACCAAGAGGAGAACTCCACCAATACCTTTTCTACCAGTGGGAAAAATACCTTTCAAATTTGCAGCTCTGTCTATGAATTTACAGAGCTTTTTTTCTCAACAATGTAACACAGTCGAGAGACAGGGATTGCTCTCTGAGGGCACAAACCTGGGACAGCAATTGTGCCTTTGCCGCTTGGAAGCCTCCAAACTCAGAAGCTTCCAAGTTTTCTGTGCTTTGCTGGACTGAAGCCTCCCCATCTTCCATCTTCTATCTTTCATGATTGCATGGTTTTTTGATCTCTAGTGAGGGTTTTTCAGAGGGGGAAGGAAAGCTCAAGAGGCTGGAGGAGGCTCAAGATAACTCACATCTTGAGCTCTCTTGTCCCTGCCTCACCCACCAGAATGCTTCCTTTCCTCTTCCAAGGTCACTTTTCTGATGTCACTGGGCAGCTGGCATGGTTCTTTCCATATGGGCATGGAGTTCTTTCCATGTGGTGGAAGGGGGTCAGGTCTCCCACTCCCCCTTCTGAGGGCTGAGTGCTATTTCTAAGCACAGAGGTGTTTCTGGGCTCTCCTATGGTCCCTGCAATTTTCTCCCATAACTCTGTGCATTGCATGCAAGCAGATGTTTGCAGAACACACATCTATGTGACACATCTTGGCAAACACACAGTGGCCAGTAGACTAGGAGTTGAGACATGTTCCAAGATGCTTTTGATTTTTATATATCATGGGAGTTTACATTCAGCCCTTCCAGGTGAATGATCTTCCAGAAACAGGTCACACATAAAGCTCAGTTCTGAAGGGCAGCAAGCTTCAACTTCACCACCTACTTAGTGCAAAAGCACTTACTTATTTTTTCGCTGCATATGCGTGAGCTGTTGTGTATCGAGTTCGTACCTAACAGCTGTTCTTAGCTGGTCACTGGACCTGTTCTTTTTGTGTCAGTACTTACTATCTGATATAAAGCCAGATGCTAAATCAGATTCACCCAGCGTTGTTTGTGCATGTTAACCACTAGCCTAGTGGCATAAGTCTAGTCTGTTCATTTACGCAACATGAACTCAGGGAAGAAGAGAACTCATGGAAAATTGCTGTGCGTGTCCTGTATTCAGAAATTCATTCTAAATAAACTGATCTTCAGTCTTCTTGGTACACTGATCATATGAGTAAATCACTCACATGACCAGGCAAATAAGAGAAGTAAATTTACAAAACTGAAGATGTCATGCTTTGGGAACAACATGAGAGGGCAAGACTCATGGGAAAGAAGGAGTGATGCTAAGGAAAGTTAAAGGAAGAAAAAGAAGAGGAAGACTAAATATAAGATTGATTGATTGATTGATTCTATAAATAAAACCACAGCCTTTTGTTTACAAGGGTTGTGCAGATCTGAAGGACAGAACATTTTAGAAGACATGACTTGATGGCATGTTACAGCAACAACCTCATGAAAAGCTTAATGAAGAAGTAAGATTTCGGGGTTTCAGTCATCCCATTGACAAACATGTCAGTGATTCAGATCAGTCAAAATCTGCTTGCTTAGCAAACTATGCAGTAACATGTTATACCACAACCCCTAGAGCTGACTCAAAGGTTCAGAACAATTCCACAATATATTCCTGTACCAGTTTAGTTATAAGATAGGTGGGTTTTTTAGAGAGTAACCAGGTATTCACAATACAAGCCATAAGTAGAGGGTATGTATGGGGTGTTATTGAATTGTAATGAACCATGCTATTGTTATTGAATCACAAGTTGTTGTGTTGCATGTACCCAACCGCACTAACAAACCACAATTAGTTAACCAAGAACAACCCACTTTTCACAACTGAACATGAGTATTCTTCATGGGTTATTCATGGCTAATCAACTATGGTTGGTTAGTACTGTTGAATTCACACAACACAACAGCTCATGATTGAATGACAACCCATTCAATCCATGCTCCGTCCTTCCTGTGGCTGTATCACACACAATGCTAAGCGATGCTGTGCAGTAACCACATGGCATGGCATCTCACTTTGTGTCCTGAATTCACATATTAGCTGTGGCAGGGAGGCTGGGGGACAGCAGGTCTTGCTGGCAGCTGTCAGAAATGCAGGGGCAAGATAGGCATGGTGGGCAGGGCAGGAGGCATGGGCTTCTCAGGTGATGCCCACACACACACACACAGCCTTTGTGCTGTTCTTGTGTAGGGTAACTTTTGCAAGAGAAGTTCACTTGCTCTAAGAGTAGAGCAAAGGCACCACAGTTTGAAAGCACCAGTCAAGCAAACGGTAGTACATAGGAGCCCCAAGCATGCCTGCCTCTAAGGCTGCTGCTGCTGGAGGCAATGTGGCACAATGCCCCACTGCCACTGAACTGTGGCTGGGCATCAAGAAGGCAGTGCATGGGCAAAGGTTGCGGGGAGGGGTAAGCTGCACAAGTCGGCCAATCAGAGCATGGCTGCAGCAGCCTCAGCAGTTGCTATGTGGAACAGGGCAGCAAAAAATGGAGGCTGGAACATCTGCTGAAGCTCCGGTTGCTCTTACTGCCGAACTCGATGGTGGAAATGTGGGAACCTTGTAATTGAGGTCACACATAACAACACACCGTAGTGCAGTATGGAAACCTTAGAACAAACTGTTGTTTCTCCACCTAACAGGCCACACTCTATCATGGAGGTTGAATTCACATGTAACAACAAACCATGCCCATGCACTTTCCATCATGGCTTCTTGGTGTGTTTGAAGACCGCCTGTGTTTCATTGTGTAGCTTTACTCTCTACATGTGGAAGCTGAAACATCAGGACAAAGGCTAGGGTGTGTTTTGTTTTGTTGGCTGATGTTATTTTGTCTCATTGTGTTTTTAATTTATTTATTTTTGTGCTAGGTTTTGATTAAGAGGATTTTGTTTTACTCCCAACTTTATTGTGGTTAGTCACATTTAATGCCATTTTTAATGAAAGGCATGATATAAATTTGATCAATAAAAATAAATAGAATTGTCAACTGATCAGAAAATCAAGAACAGAAAAAGGCCTGGCCTATGATCCTTTGTAACACATTTGGTATAGTTAATCCTCCATCCAGCTCAGAGGATGACAAAGCAAAGGATTTCCAAACCCTTATATGGTCTCTCCAAACCAAAGGACACAACTGTACCAGATTCATCAACTTCAGAAGATTTTCTTCCTGAGCCT